TCGGCCGCAGACGAAACATTTGGGCAACCGGTGCCCAGCCTGGGCACGTGGCCCCGCTGCGGCCACCCACGGCCCCTGCCGGGCTTTTGGGTGGTGTGAGGGGGGGCAATGCTTTCCTTGGCCTTATCTCACCCGGCTCTGTGGGCAGGATGGGAAAGGAGGGCGGCTCCATGGCGCGGCAGCGAGCCGGCACGTCCGTCCTCCCCGGGCGGCGTTTTGGGGCGAGGCCCGCTCTCGTGCCTGAGCGATTCGGCAAAAGTAATGAGGAAGGAGGTTTAACGCTTTCCTTGGGCTAGAAGCAGTAAAAAAAATGTAAAAATTGTAAAAAATTTAAACAAAGCTGGGAGAGAAAGCACCTGTCCCCGGTGACCTTGTCCCGTTTGCTTCACCCTGTGCCTCAGTTTCCCCATCCGTAAGGTGTTGCCTCACTAAGGGGGTCCAGGGTTGGAAATTTCCACTGCAGCCGGGTCCTTTCCCTGCCCCCAAGGCTCTGGGTGACGGCGATGGCTCTGCGGGGGTGACGCACCCGGTGCCTCTGGGGACCACAGGTCCCTCACCCCGCAGGCACTCGCTGAGGGAACAGTTTTTGCTCCAGGGCTCCATAAAACCCAGTCAGGGGCATCACGTTCCCCCCCGCTGACAGGAGCAGCCGGTTATCTCGCTCCATAAACGTTCCGCGCAACCCTCCGCGGTTGCGGCGGTCGCCAGCTGATAGCGGGCAGGGAGCGTCCTGTCCTGCCGGGACGTGCGTCTGTCCCACCCCTGCCCGGCACCGGGGGGCACTTGGGAGTTCGGTGGGTTCATCCTCTAAGTGTCCCTCCTTGCTGTTTCAGAGCATCCTCGTCACCTGGACGAAGGGGTTCAAGTGCAGCAGCGTGGAGGGGAAGGACGTGGTGTCGATGCTGCGCAAGGCCATCAAGAAACGAGGGGTGAGATTTTGGGGCAGGTCTCCATCTCCAGGGACACCCAGGGACTCCCCTGTTTTGGCCACGCTGACCCAACCTCTCCCCTCTCCACCCCCTCAGGACTTTGACATCGACATCGTGGCCGTGGTCAACGACACCGTTGGGACCATGATGACCTGCGGCTACGACGACCACAACTGCGAAGTTGGCCTCATCGTTGGTGAGCAAGGGGGAAGGGTTGGGGTCCATCTCTCCAGGAACTCCAGGAGATCACGTTCCTTGCAGGTTTCAGGGTCTTTTTGGGGAAGAAAAGGCAATAGCAATGTTAGAAAACCAGCGCTGCCCAGTGTTTGGTTTTGGCTGTTGGTAATTATGGGGAACAAGGGAAAAGCAGCGTCTTCTCACCGCGTCCCCGTGCTTGGTGCAGGTACCGGTACCAACGCCTGTTACATGGAGGAGATGAGGCACATCGACCTGGTGGAGGGGGACGAGGGTCGGATGTGCATCAACATGGAGTGGGGCGCCTTCGGCGACGACGGCGTCCTCAACGACATCCGGACCGAGTTCGACCGCGAGATAGACATGGGCTCGCTCAACCCCGGCAAGCAATTGTACGCGGATTCTTGGCGCGGGCTTCGCGCGGCGCTGTCCGTCCTCCCATCGCCTCGGTGGGACCGCTGAGGTCGTCCCAGTTAACTGGGTCACCGCGTCCTCCAGTTGCCAATGCAAACGGGGGCTGTGTCACAAGTTTGGGTGGGTGCGCCCAACCGAACCGCTCATGAGGCTTTCGCTCGAACGCGTTGGTTTATTTCCCCGGTCAATGGAGCTATTTGCCAGCCAAGGCAAACACCACCCCCTAATGTCCACCTCCACGTCCTACAGATCTCCCTGTGTGACAGCGTGGGTGGGATTTGGGGAGGGTCTCCGCAAACTGACATCCCCCCCACTTCAGGTAGCCCTAAGTTGTCCTTGCAGAGCGATGGTTGTGTCAGCGTGGCGTTATCTCCTCAGGGATGGGATAAGCTGCTCTGGGAGGAGATTACCTGGATTGTGGCTGGGCCCAGGAGGCCACCAAGTGGTTTGTAAGGTCAACCTGTGGCCACCTCGCGGCCCACGCAGCCACGCCGATGCGTTCATCTCGTGCTTTTGGCAGGTTTGAGAAGATGATCAGCGGGATGTACATGGGAGAGCTGGTCAGGCTCATCCTGGTGAAGATGGCCAAGGAAGGGCTCCTGTTTGGAGGAAGGCTCACGCCGGATCTGCTCACGACCGGCCACTTTGAGACCAGATTCGTCTCTGCTATCGAGAAGTGAGTGGGATCAGGGTGGTTTCATGGGGTCTTGACATCTGTGGTGGGGGAAAGCAGGAGCCATCACAACTGGGCAAACAGGGACATTCTGGGTGGCAAAAGCTGGATTTCCAGGCATTAACCCTTTACTTTCTTCTGTGATGTGCAGGGAGAAGGAAGGGCTGCAGAAAGCCCACGAGATCCTCTCCAAGCTGGGCCTGGAGCCGTCCCACGAGGACTGCGTGGCCACTCTCCGCATCTGCCAGATCGTGTCCACACGCTCGGCCAACCTCTGCGGGGCCACGCTGGCGGCCGTGCTGCGGCGCATCAAGGACAACAAGGGCGTGGAGCGGCTGCGGTCCACGGTCGGTGTGGACGGCTCCGTCTACAAGAAGCATCCTCAGTGAGTCCATGAGGATGGGCAGGGATGGTGGGATGGGATGGGGAGAGCACAAATCTGCTCCTGCCAGCAGTGGGTAAAGCTTGGCACAGGCAGAGCATCCCCAGAAATTCCCCTGGGCACCTCTGGATCACAGAATCATTAAGGTTGGAAGAGACCTCTAAGGTCAAGGGTAACAGAGGGGATTGAGTGCTCCCTCAGTCAGTTTG